TGAGGGTTTGAAGAAGGGCTGATACATCAGCTAGGGAGATGGTCAAGCTGCTCAGAGACGGGCGGTTACTCTGTTGTAGAGAGGTGGAATATGAGGCGGAGATTGTAGGATTGAACTTAGGAGAAGGAGGTAAGTAGCAGCTGGCAAAGTAAGCATTCAGGTGGTCGGCTATATTGACTGGATGATTGATGAAGCTACCGTTGGTGGAGCTCAGACAGGTGACTTGGTGACAGTTTGGGGTACAACGCCCAAGAAATAGGCGGCCGAGTAATTTACAGCTAGAAGGGCCCCTGAGAGCAGTGCTCTCTTCTCTGCTTTCGAGGGATACCCGTAAGGAATTTCGGTCAGTTGAGAGGTTGTTGATGAGTAGCATTGATGAGTAATCCTGGGATTTACGATATTTTCTGCCGGTTCGGTCTATTTTATTGCCCAAGGCTTTAAATAGGCTATCATGTCGAGGGATGCAAGGGTAAAAACTCTTAATGGGAGAGGCAAGGTAGAGAGAGGTCAATAGGTTTTGGTAGTCATCAAAGTCAAACTAAGGTTGCTAATATAACTATACTACCTGAGCCGGAACAGTTCACCGTATGTAGGCTGAGGTGGCGCGGTGAGGGTTACCAAGCACGTAACGACTGGTAGGGGTGTAAATCCCGAGTAGGTGGACCAGATTTCCTGGGGTTTAATAGTGAGTTGGACGATACTAAGACAATCTAAGAGGGAAGGTGTATGTAAGGGTGATGGTCACCAGTCCCCGGAGCACTAATATCAGCTTTACTCGATGAGTGGTGCATGATGAAGAAGAGTTCCCTGGTGCTTCACCGGTCGCTTGGCAGGGGCCAACACCCGCTGCTCAGAAAGAAAGGGTTGTCACGTCAATCAGTAAAACTGGTGACCAACTTTCGCTTGGCAGCTACGTGCCTATAAGCCTCACTAGTGTGCTATGCAAGGTGATGGAACGCATTCTGAACCAAGCCATTCTAGATCACCTTACTTCCAACGGTCTAATATCTTCAGCTTAACACGGATTACTCCCAAACCGTTCTTGCGCGACGAACATACTCGTACTTACGGACAGCTAAACCGAAGCCAAGGACGACGGATTCATTTTGGTGCCGTTTTTTCGACTTCTCAAAAGCAGTTTATCGAGTCCCACACGTCTCGTTGCTCCACAAACTTGAGTCCTGCAAGATTTAAGGGGAAATCCTACGCTGGATCAAGACGTCCCTAACAGACAGATCATTACTGATGAAAGTGGGCTCGACCAACTATTCTTCAGCACCGGTCACCATTGGAGTTCCCAGGGCTCTGTTCTGGGACCACTGCTGTTTCTGCTACACATCAGTGACCTTTCAGACGTCCTTGCAAGTCCATGTCTACCTTTTCGGATGACTTGAAATCTTGGATCTCCAATGCCAGAGCTATCCAAATGGATATAGACGCTGCAAAGCAGTGGTCGTTGGACTGGCAATTACCTCCGAATGGCGAAAAGTGCATCCATGTGCAATTTGAAGGAGACTCAGTGAACGCCTCTGTGAGAAAGGACCAGAAGACATCATGAGTATAGATGCCAGGAAGAATGTATGTATCTGGCTGCCCTCAAACATCTCCTTCTCACTGCGTCATGAGAAATTGGCAAAAAATGCATTCGCCGTTCTACAGATGATTCAGCGCACCTTGTCCCGTATTAGTCGCATGGACTGACAATCACTCTGTGGCCTGCGTCAAACCGCTCCTTGAATATGCCAACCGATTTGTCTGCTCAGGGCACACAATGGACGCAACCCTCATTATGCGTTTCCAGCGAGCTGGTATGAAAATGATTGCTGGTCTTAAATCTGAGGAATGCGAAACGTATTTCACACTGCTTGACCTCTTTCCCCTGAAAATCGTCGCTTCCGATGGGACGTAATTCTTACTTATGTCCGGTTTGAAAAAGGCCATTAGGTTTTCCACCGATGACCAAGAAAACACACGGCCGGGACATGTTAGCCTTGTCCCGTATTAGTCGCATGGACTGACAATCACTCTGTGGCCTGCGTCAAACCGCTCCTTAAATATGCCAACCGATTTGTCTGCTCAGGGCACACAATGGACGCAACCCTCATTATGCGTTTCCAGCGAGCTGGTATGAAAATGATTGCTGGTCTTAAATCTGAGGAATGCGAAACGTATTTCACACTGCTTGACCTCTTTCCCCTGAAAATCGTCGCTTCCGATGGGACGTAATTCTTACTTATGTCCGGTTTGAAAAAGGCCATTAGGTTTTCCACCGATGACCAAGAAAACACACGGCCGGGACATGTTAGGAAGATTTTCAACCTCAGAGTGTACATATTAATCAGGCAGAATTTTTATCATTTCGGAATAACCCTCCTCAGATAGCTGTCCATGCCCATTCTAAAACCCGGTTCAACGAACCATTAGACACTTATTCATGCGAGTCCTCGCGCTGGCAACCTTACCACCCCGCGCTGAGAAAGTGAAGAGCGTGCTGCACCCTTTTCCACTTGTGCATTTCAGGTGAACGACAGCCGCGAGCAAAACCGACCCGGTAAACTTGGGCGAAAGCCTCGATCTTGTGTGTCGATCCGTGGATCCGTGAAGTGATGACAGTTATCTTGATCCTTGCAGAGTCGTTTGTCCATATAGGAGCACTGATTGGGCGAAAAACCAACCAGCACTGTCTGACACCTCTTGCTAATCCATGTCTTTCGTAACTTTGCATAGTACCATTTGGGGCAACTAATAATACTGCGTTCACTCAACTGTGCTCCTGAGTGACCGACATATTAGCATCCATTTCCCGTTCAGATGGGTTGTGATCTACTTCAGGTATGCTTGTTTCAGTTGTGCATTCTAATAACCCCCTAAACCTGTCAACATAAGGAGATAGTTATCTTCCCTGCCGAATTTCCGTATGGAAGCGACAGCAACATATCCGAGTCTATCTGTATCCAACTTTAGATGAGTGCGTTTGGGCAGTTGACTCCTGACCAATCAACAGCCAGGGTGTTGCTGGGTTCTCTGTCGGGGGCGTATCTCTCAACATGATTCGCTTCATTCTCATTCAGAACAGGGCCGGTAAAACGCGCCTGGCGAAATGGTACATGCATTTAGATGACGAAGAAAAACAAAAACTCATTGAAGAAGTCCATGCGGTGGTAACGGTGAGGGATGCAAAGCACACGAACTTTGTGGAATTTCGCAATTATAAGATTGTTTATCGCAGATACGCCGGTTTGTATTTCTGTGTTTGCATTGATGTTATGGATAATAGCCTCATGTACCTCGAGGCTATCCATAACTTCGTTGAGGTCCTAAATGAACTGTTCCACAATGTTTGTGAACTGGATCTGGTTTTCAACTTTTACAAAGTGTATAGTGTCGTCGACGAAATGTTCCTTGCTGGAGAGATACGAGAGACCAGCCAAACGAAGGTCCTGAAACAGATCTTGATGTACTCTGCTTTGGAATAATTTGCTGCTGCACGATGGCTTTATTTATTCGCAATTGATCTCTGTACTTGGCATAATATACCTTTTTTTATGCAAATACCTTGATTGCTTGCCCAGCCTGGCCGATCCGATTTTTTCCCCGCTGGTATGCAGCTTACACCACGTAGTGCGGTTACACGGATTCATCTGCTGTACTTTGCAGGGAGTGCCCGACTCGCGACATCCTGCTCGAAAATCCGTTGAAAAAGAACTTTTTATATGCCCCCCCCCTCAGGTTTGTTGACTACGGCACAAGGAAGCTGACGCGTCAAGCCATAAACGCCTGTAGTTTATAACTTGAGCACGTTTTCCGCCAGCGTCAGCAAGTGGGTTTGACAATGCACACAATATTGTGGCTATTCAGGTTGCGATCGCTGTCCTTCCTGTTACTTAAAGGATCTCAGAGATATAGAAATCAGTATTTAATGGCATGCGGGAGAAACCTGAGATGCACTCACCGTAAAACGTAATTACGAATTAAGCAGTAGATCCCTTTTCTTAGGTACAGGTATTACTCGACGCGCAGCAGATGGTAAATGTGATTGTGCGCCGCATATAAATACCCAGCTTTCTCTTTCCTAGTAAGATTATTGTCAATCGACAAACTAACGGGCTTTATGTTGTAAATTCGGTGCATTCCTTGACTAGAAGATGGGACTGGTGTAATCTGCTGGGACTTTTCGTAGCAGCTTCACTCGTCAAAACGTTGAAAAGTGTATTCTACCAGATTTCTCCAGCTAAGCACTGTTGGTATGGTCGCTTCTGGCTTCGAGTAGCAAACCATCGAGCTCGAGATAACGCAGTGATTAGTGTGTAAACTTTCTCAACCAAGGATTTGTCCATACATCTCGAATTTTCCTGCCTTGGTCTAGGTAACCAGGTAGAACCCCAACCCGCGTGCTTTATTTCGGTTGGCAAACCAGCTAGTTACCGGAAGCGTGTTACAGCTGAGCAATTATACTATGATCAGGCACGTTTGCAAAACGAACACAACTGACTACTCTCCATTTACGCACACACCAATAGGTTGTTCTTCGATTTCGCAAACTATGCGAAGATTTTTAGCAACATCCTATTCGTACAATCCCGAACAATTTATCACCACCTTTATACTATGAAGGGGGATCTTGTCAACTCATGATTGCTCAGGACATAAATATAAGTATTGGTTTGTATTAATTTCAAAATTCCCACAAACAACGCATCACTCAGTCCTCTTAACACATGCCCTACCTAGCGGAACTGATGTTACGTCGGAAAACTGCTAAGAGTTCGGTGACGGACTTGTGTAAAACTCGCACACTTTCCGAACCCAGCGTAAGAGGAAGTTAGCAAACACCAGTGGCTGAAAGCAGATAACCTGTTGATTTTATGTTCGACAACCAAGAAGGAGAACGCCGCGCACAGAACCGTTGAATTCATGTCCATCGAAATCTTATTGGACTTCTCAATTTCCGTGAAGGTAGTGGGAATTCATGAAAGCCATTCGATTCATTATATAGAGACCTTGCTTCATCCTAGATGCTAGCTGCCTCCAAGCAATTATCCAGATGTGGAGAGATATACACCAGATCGCGCTTCTGTTTAGCTGAGTGCGGTTGTTCAAATTGGCTGGCTCTCTACCGTAAAATTACACTCTCTTAAGCAGAAGTTCATTTCAAATTGATGGGATACGCTGGGCGCCATGAATATAATCACAAATCAGAACTTTGTTAACCCCGAGGCGTTTCTTTTAGGACTAACTCGAAACCAATATGGTTTAACGTATCAGGCCATTGTTCGGGACGAAAGGAACGGGATAGCCTTCGGTCCTACTTGAGATGGAGAGAGTTGATAGCTCACCAGAAAGGAGGACTTGGGCAGATGTTACAAGAATGTTGATGAGTCATTTCGGGGACCCATTTAACTTTGGGAACAAAACAATTCGAATGACGACACCAAATGCACCTAAGTAAAGATTGAGACAATTGGTCTTCGTTATGTGTGGTGCATTATCATCAACATCATCCCCAGCTATAAAACCGCGTACTTGTGTAGTGGTTATAGCTGTCACGGTTCCGTTCACCGATGATATGGCTTGCTGGGAGTAGACAGCTACGCATTTGAAGCAGTAGCTGACATGATTGCGGCGTGAATCAAGGCTTCTCAATAAGGTGGGGGAAAGCTATGAAATGAATATAACTCGAATGCATGAGCACGCACCTGGACCATGTCTGTGAATATCTTCAGCAACTGATGTGTCCCATTTTGAGGACCCCAACCAGGGCAACGGTAATAACTGAAGCATCTGAGGTGGATGGTACTTGGCGTTACTCATGCTTTTGACGTAACGCAAAGTTGTGGTCAACAAAACCTCTGCCTGGCTGGAAGTGTGCTTGATGGCCTTGGGCTGGCGTCTCATGTCGAAGACAGACCTTGCACTGTATGGAAGGCCAGTGGCCGCGCTGCGACAGGCGTGAAAACCATTGAATGAGTGCACTTATATCGGAGTAAAATCCATCTCTCACAGTATGCACTGGCTTTGGTACAAGCGTAATTTATACCAGCCATAGCTATTTACAGGGGCGAGATGGCCCAAGTGGTTAGAGCGCTTTACTGACCGGAAAGTTCGTGGTTCGAATCCGACCTCCGCACTCGACTTCGTCTAGACTTGGGCAACTTGGCAGTATCCTAGCCCTCGTGCTTCCTTCGGGTGGCATGGCAGCTAGGCACCGGAAGGGTGCTACAGCTGAACGCTTTCTTTTCTTTCTTCCATAGGTATCTACAATCACTACCAATTTTACTTGTTGAACGGATTGGAGGAGCCGCCTGAAGCTGTGAGCGGCCAAGATGAATGCAGTGCGAGGGTTCGGGATAAGGTTTATCCTTTGCTGTGACGTCACTGTACGAGGGTAAATATTCTTCGTCAGGACAGAGATTCCACCAGTGGTAGCACACTAATTGTGGATAATTTTGGAATTGAGGGGACTAATGGTATGGTTCAAAAGTGTGGGAAGACGGAGGTTTGGCGTGCGAAAAGGTGGAAATCTGACCGTTTGTAATTCAAGCCAGAAACAGGAAGAATGGCAGAAAGTCTCAAAAATCTTGCTGTGTGTTCATATAGTTGTACAGGTAAGAAATTTTCCGGTTGTCCAAATTGACGAAGAGGGTAGACATAGGGAACGGTTTTCGGGATGGTCGAATGAGAATACAGATAACTCACAGACCAGCCATAAGAAGTGCATACTTTTGGGACATAAACATTAAAGACAGAAGCATCAGTATTAATAATGATGTTTCATTGCCAAACATCATTATTATCGATAGCCTGATATCGCAGTTCAACAATCAAGATTTGCTTTCGTAACTGCAGTACAACCATACAGATTATCTAATTTTTAACGCCTATGAGTGAAAAGAAGATAAAATAGTAGGTGAGGGAGGGGACCTGGTGCCTATGTCAGATATTCTGAGTTGTCCACACTTCCGAGCGCCCAATCTGACTTGGACGCCATCATTTGCTGCAATGTCTCCAGCCAAGCGGAATGGGGATCGCGGAGACCCCATCCCGGAAAACAGACTGCACCAACAACACATAAACTCTTCGCAATCTCCTTCGCACTGTTCTTCCCAGTGAAATGTTACCCACCTCGCGGTTTCCGCCATTCTCAAGGAAGCGCGGGGAGCAACACTCGTCTCGATAGACGGTGTTTCAGCATACGTGGGACATGGCCAAGCCACCACAATTGATGGTACTGGGTGTTTTCTGCGACCAAAGTACCCGCTGCACGGCCAACTACCCGTTTTCCAATCTCGTTACTAATCTGTTGACAAGCTACGTGTCTGACGTATCGGTGATTAAAAACCTCAAGACGCCTCACATTATCCGTCCGCAGAGGCCATGATTCACAACCATACACCAATACAGCCATTACCGTAGCCTCGTACACGTGATCCCTGATATTCAAGTGATGCTTACACAACCGTTGATGTGTAAAATTCTCCACAACCTCCAGTGATTCTCCTTGAATTGTATAGGATACGTTCAGACTACATGTTCTGAAACATGACTTTGCACTCAGAAGGTGTAAGTCGCATGCCGAAAGGTGCTATGACGGTTATCAGTCTATTCAACAGGGCTTGTGCTTTGACTTTGTCTTCAAAGATTATTGCGATGTCGCCTGTGTTCTTCAGATCGACAAGGTTCTTGCCAGAAAATGGGGGTTTTGAAGACCTTCCAGCGTTTGCTTCATTTCCTCATCAGTAGCGGAGTTAAACAAGAACAAAGACAAAGACCTTTTGGAGAACTCACTGTATACTCTCACACGTCCAGAATTATGCTAATATGCGGACCGGATTATATTCACATACCCTGTTGAGCATGTATGATTAAAATCGCTGACCGATCGACGTAATCGAGCGCACTTTAATTCAGAGAACATCAAGATTGTGGGCTGTGTGTACATATGGTGTGTCCAGCGGTCCAAACGTTCTCCTTTGCTGTATATCAGAGAGCCATTCTCGACCCCGGTAGTTTCGTTGACAAGAGGCTTCCGAGGACCAGTGGAACGAATCAAATAGAACAGTCTGTGAACATTTACAGCATTTCTCGCTCCTTACATTTCTTTTGCCCTTCGGATCCACCGAGATTCTCGGTCTGCATGGGTACTCAGTATCACCTGGCGTCGGGTGGGTTTGTGGTTGCAGTCAGGGAGGGATTTATCGCCTGGCCTCCAGCAAAGATCCAATATCTGGGTGAGGTTGACTGGGCTCTTCCGTGGAGGGAAGTTCTAGCTAAGATTGGCGCTTTGAATAGCATTTCCAGTTAGGCGTTTACATCCGATTCCAAGCCGTCGGGTAGGCATTCGAGGGACAACTGCGATTACTCCTTTTTAATTCCTGTGTCCACTAGCTTCTCAGAGGCTGAGCTTTGTGTGTATTTTGCGTAGACCTGAAAGGTAGCAACGCGCAAGTTCGTGGTGGGAGTCTACGCTAGTATTTCAGAATGAGAGGCACGTGGTGGTTGACCCTCGCCACCGATAACTGACGGTGATGTGGTCTATTCGGATTCGGGGTGTTTCATATTTGGACACCACGTTATCAAGCGATTTACACTGTTCAGGGAATGGATACTGCAAAGGGACGATCTGTTGTTGGTATTCAATTGAATCGGAGGATTTCTGTTATCGTTATTGTATTGAATGCAGGACGACCACCGAATCGGACCTCAGGAGCGGTTGGTTTACCTACCTGAGCGTTCATGTCACTACCAACCACAACGATCGTTGAACTTGTAGTCTTTTGTAAATGAGCGTCGTAGAGACTGTCTTTGAAAGACAAATTGCCACGTTCTACCACCAGCTTTTGTGTGTACTCATTCGTATGCTCGTGCCGAGCATCATACGTTGGTCGTACGACAAGGCATTTGTCGGACAGAATACGAGAACACAATCCCGTATCTCTGAGTGGTAGTGGAAAGAAACCAGGCTCAAGCGCGATTGCAGCACACTTGGCCGAAACCTGTCATATCATAGACAAGGAGCAAGCCTTCACCATCATATACCGGGTACCTCTGAACGGACCACGACTGGTACGATCCAAACTACTATCGATCGCAGAGGTGATAGGAATCCGACTGCTGGATCCACAACTTTGCATCCAAAAGAAACTTGTGCGACCTCTGAACTTGAACTGGCCTACGAAACATCTGGTCCCACAAGTCTGTCTGACATTGACGTCATGACCCATTGACCTACCCCTCACCCAACCCCCTTCCTTTAACTTCTATTTCTCTAAAGTGTAGCCCCGATCTTAACCTTTTCCACGTGATTTCTGCTACCATATAAATTTGTGATGTATTAGCCAAGATGAACAATCACAGAAAACAAGCTTTGTTCGCTACCTTCTTTGTTCTCATGACAACGCGTTTAAATAGTTAATCGAAACTAAATCGTGCTTCAGCCATGCGTGTGCTTTCCAGTATTCATTATCAAGTCTGTGAACAAGATGCCGCTTGAGTAGTGGAATTCTCCAACTACCCTATGTTGAGACATCGTCGGTTTGCTTACGATCGGATCTCCTGGCTCTTTACAAACTCGTCATCCAAAAGCTTGGTCCTCGAATTGCGAAGCTCCTTTGACATTAATGAATCTGATGTTTGTTTTAGCGTCTTGGTTAAGGGCCTATTTTTCTCGTAAACCAGGAGAATTGCAATTGCATCCTTTTCATAAAACCAGTATTGATGCTTCTGCCCTTAACAGAGAAATAGGTGATCAAGTGACCGAGTGGATATGATGACAGGTGACGACTGGTAGTTCTATGTCGAGCATCGTGGCAAAGTACACGCCGACAAAATAGACATTCCAAGACATCATCACTATCCTCCGATTGGTGCGGTTTGATTCAAATGATCGGTCACTACAAATGCAACCTAATCGACCATCATATGTAATGCATCGAACTGTGACGGGTGGCTCTTTGGGTACTCTTTCAACAAACTAAGCAGCGCTTTTGAGTATTTCTACGCTCTCCTGGAGGTTGCTTACTAAAATGCGGACACAAGATCGTGACTATTACAAATTAGACATGTGTATAACTGATATATCTCTCTATGACTCGCAGTAGCGCGTACCCTTTGATAAAATTGCGTAACGCGCCACGGTTCTGAGTGGCATATGCACCGCACCGAGGTTTGTAGTGCAGTTCAAATTAGAATGGTATTGTATTTTATGCAAGGTAGTATCGTAAATTGTTCTTCAACCTATATGATTTTACTAGGCATGTAGGTCTTCTGAAAGGGACCCATTGTATATCTCTTATTGCTTCGTGGTAACTCAACATGCGTAACACATGGCCCATGAATACACTTTTTGAGTAAACTACCATTAGCTTCATCCAATAACCACCTGATCACCTCACTGTGAATTCGCTGACTCCATCCGATTTAGGCACTAGTTTGTAGGCGTACGTGTTCAAAGGCCTCCTCCGCCCGAAGTTGCCAAGTTTCGCTACCGCACAGAACCACCATTGTATTCTGACATGCGTGTCCTTTGTGTCCCGATGATGTATCTTTTTGACGCCACAAGCGGCGCAAATAGGTAAAAGCAATTCTGGCCTTTGAGATTTGTGCGTCGACTTTGCCTATCAAAGCCAGCGTTAAACCTAATGTGACTTTCGAAGTACATCTAGTTTTCCATAAATTATGGTGGGAATCTTAGAGACATGTTCAAAGACTGTATCTCACCATGACACCATGTGTTAGGTTGTTAGAGCGCGAATTTACTGACCAGAAGGTCCGTGGTTTGAATCTGACTTCTGTCTCTCAACTTCCCCTGTCTAGACTAGGGCAACCTGGCAGTAGCTCAGCCCTCGTGCTTCCTTCAGGTGTCATGGCAGCTAGGCACCGAAAGGGTGTTACAGGTGAACGATTATCTCTTACTATCTTATGACTTGGTACTTTGTGGGTGCGAAGCAGATGCCGAGGGACTTGATGACCGCGGTCATCTTTTCTGGTATTACCTGCGCCTCCTGCTCTTTTCCAAAGATGAGAAGAATTTCACCCGCATATTCCAGATCGACGAGGCTCGCACTCAAGAATGTCTGAACACAGGTTTTTGAAACTCTTTAGAGTTCGTCTTATTACCTCATCAGTGACGGGGTAAAACAAAAATGGATAGAGTTGAAGTCCCTGTCGGATATCACTTCTTGGGGGAAAGCTTTTGCACAGCCTTTGCACATCCAAACTGCGCATGACAGTGACGAACTTGCTTCATCTCCTTTGAACGGAGCGGGTGGGAGTTCGTCAGGCTCAGCAGCTCGAAGTCGTTTGAGGGACAGAAAGCATTTACTCATTTCAGAAGACGGGGATTCCAAATTGATTGTCCGGGAATCTGTCTGTACATCTGCAGGTAACCAGTTGGGTTGTTGAAAGCGTGAAACCTGTCGCCTCAAACGCTAAGCAATGGCTTGCATCGCCCACACTTAAATTGCATCGAACTTTCAATCATTGTGTAAACTGAAAATCTGAACGATTCTGTTGCCCTAACATGCATGCGAAATAGACTCTCCTGCGTTATGCTAGAAATGTGTGTTCGCTCCTCCGTGTTTTCTGAATGCCTTGCATATGAGGTATACAAATCCTCAACATACAGTTGCAGCACTTGATATGCTCTGAATTAAGGCAGCCGGTATTCTCCTCGGTACGAGCTTGTCATGAAACGATCTTTTCATGATTCCGAAATTTCCCTGATTGTGTCCTCAAGGCGAGGATCAATTGGGTGCTTATACGAGGCCTGGGGACACGTGCTAGACGAAAACCTAGATCCGTAGTTTATATTAGGTTGTACTTGCATTCATTTATGAAGTAACTTCGGTTGGATTTCGTTCACAGTGTTCGGTAGTTGACTTTGTTGGAAATTACCTATGGTATTCTCATGCTGCTGATGGGATAGGACAAACGGCATGTGCAAACCAAATGGAAACATTAACAGTTTCGACTGGCAAAATAAGAAACTGTGTACATGATCCTGTTATAGATGAATGCCTGTGACCTGTCCGCTATTAGGTGTTTTTATAAAACATATATAGCATAATGGAGGGATCTAGGACAGGTCGTACTCAAGGTTGGACAGTTGGCCGAAAAACTAGTTGTCTTCGATGTATCTCACATTTATATTTGTTATCCTTCAACAAGTAGTGGAACCGAACTATGGGCTTTTTCTTTTTGTCGGGTCGAAACCGAACAGTGACGGCCTTTTTTAAGAGTTTCTCGGAAGCTGCCCCCGCGAAATAGAATGTTCTGTTAGAAATGAAAATGTTTTGAACCATCATATCATTTGGGAATTCGTTTGCTACTCACCGGCGTCATCTGGATTGCTTAGGTGTCGATTTCAAAAAAGAAGCAGTCTGTAGCTGACATTAATTCCCATTGTGATGCTGTCATCATTCCTCGTGTGTAATGTTCACGTACCACTATACCGGTCTTAAATTTCCGTATCCTGGTGTTTATTTGAACACTGAAGTTCATCATTCAGTTTTGCGGTCACGTCACACAATTCCTCTGTTCGCTGCAGTTTTCCCGATTATATGTCAAAGGATACATACACAGCATCAGCCACGTGTATGCACTTTGGAGTAGCTTGAACTTTCCCGCGGGGAATCGAACCGCCATCTGGCTGCGTAGTTTGCGCGCTCGCTGTGCCATGTTGTCGTGCCAGACAATGTGCTCTTAAACTATAAGCTTTGCTACACAGTCAAGTAGGTCCAGTAGGTCCAGTCTATGCCCTAATCGACCCCTCCGACTCAGTCCTTCACTTTCAGCGTTTCTCAGGGAAGCGACGGAAGGTCCTAGAGAGGCACAGTATGGTAAGTTTGGGCAGTAGGGATAGGATGACCCCGTTCAGCTGTAGCACCCTTTCGGTACCTAGCTGCCATGCCACACGAAGGAGGCACGAGGGCTGGGATACTGCTAGGTTGCCGAAGCTTAGACAGGGGAAGTCGAGAGGCAGAGGTCGGGTTCGAAAGGGATAGGATGGGGGACAATGGCGATGTACTTTCAATGGTGTGTTTGCATTAAGCCGGCATGATTAGTTTGTCAAAACAATTATCAGAGTTTGACCGCCCACAGGACTCGAATACTGTATCACCATACAGGGCGTCGTCCACATGCATCTCCCCTTATCGTGGCAATGAGTATATTCAAACTTAATAGGTGAATGTCTGTCCGTGGCAAATGGACTTGCGGTGTTTTTAGGTTACGCCTATTTAATATCGGTCCAGAGAACGTTGCCTCTCATGGTCAAGTGTTGCTTTTGGGGTGGATTCGATCAGGAGGCTTGCTTGTTTCGGAAAGACTTACGGTCGAACTGGTCCGTTGGATTGCAAACAGTTTAAAACCAGTTGAAATCCAATTTCCGTTGAGTTAACAATTGATCTACTCCGTTCAATAATGAATATCATTTCGTTGCTTCTCGCCTCCCTAGGTAGGTTTATCCCAACTCATCTGCTGTGATCGGCTCTTCACCTGGCACCCCAGTTCATTGGCTACCCTAGCAATCACACAAAATCCGCCCGGCTATATGGGAACCATATTAGCCGTGTTGCCGAACAAAGCAGATTTTCGTGAGTTTGTCTACTCGACCGCACTGCTCATTTAAATACACTTAAATGATGCAGAAATAGTCCTTCAAACATATAGACGGTTGTGCAGACGTAATGCGTTGCTCATAAGGTTGCTGAAATCTCTTCGATAGCCCACGACCGGTTTCGCTTGCTGCTTATCAGGTCGGTTGAGTTGACGCCAACCTTATTTTCCAGTTGAACTCAAATTTGGTTACGTGACCTGAACGGGAAAACTTATGAGATCTACGGGTGTATTCGGGTCCCGCCTGTCAATTTACGCCTACTGTTCGCTTTAGCTGATGACGAAATACACACATTCACAAATTACTTTAATGCCAGCGAGTAACCCAATTGAGTCCTCCCCTTGTGATATTCTTCCACTGAATGTGCTGCATACAGGTCACCTCACGTTTCAAGTGGCAATATACTTTCTTTGAAGAACTTGCTACTTATAAGGCTACTGAGGACTTCTCGACACCCCATTACCTGTTCTACTCTTCCGGAAGACAGTCGCCGAGTTCCCGTCAACTCTGCTTGAACACTAAACTGTGCGTAGTGGACGAAATTAGCCCAGTTAAAACATGATGTGGGCTTCGTTCTTGACGTGCAGCTTGGTGTTCAAGTAGAACGCAAGGTTGTCGGAAACTCTGGAACTGCATTCCAAAAGGAACGAAGGCGGTAGTGGACTGTTAAAGCGTTTTCAGCATTCATATGGATAGTATGTTCTACCAAGGGCATATGAGCTAGTTGCTTTTTGTACGAGCGACATATACTTCACGGCCACTCGACCTCCGAATACACCAGTGTCACGCGACACCAACAACAGTCTATGAAATCTGGGTTTAGTAGTGCTTAAAATACGGTCGTGCATATGCGAGCCATTCAAATAGTGTAACAAAAGTGGGCGTGTTTGTTGGATCGAATGATCATTAGTATGATCAGCAATTAGCTATTCCTGTATGGATGAGCGAATGGTTGATCTCAAAGCTCGTAGGAGACCTTATCCAATCTTGAATTTGAAAGAGGAACTGTAAACCAAATCTTCACAAACGTCTGTGAGAATATCTCCCTATATCTACTTCGTTTTCAACTTGTATTGAACGGGAACCACCGATGAATCTTTTCTCTGCATATTCAAATTTGTACACGCATCCGACTGTAGGGTCTCCTGCAGTTAACAGTTTTGCCCGTGTTCTATTTTAGCAAAACCACTGCCTTAGGCTGGTAACCATCTGTAACTTGCCCTGGCTCCCGATGATATGAAATTATGCCACATTCCTGAGAGATATGCTTCCAACACAAATACAGGTGTATTTTATACCCCAGCGGTTACTTTCGTTATCCATCTTTCCAGTGTTTCGCGGAAACAAATTTTTCACTGTTGATCAATTTGACAGTGGGTTCATCTATCACCACACAATTCCATCGTTCTGCATGTTAGCATGATTAGTGAATTTATGGAAGTGCAGGGTGACTGACCCATATTGTCTGTCACTGCCGCGCAAGCGGGGAAATATGCCGGCGAATGGGCGTGCGGGTGGACACAACTTGATCATTCATGTTGGTGTAAGTGCAGTTGAGGAATAGGATCTTGAAGCCTGCAGTTCGAAAACAGGTTAGAACATGCCGGTGGTATGTTCCGTCTCGGTGATAGCGTTATGCAGAGGGAATGGAGATGGACAGTTGTCGTGCTACGGTCCACAAGATGTCCCTTATGTTACGGTTATTTTCTCGAATTGAGGACTTCACGGAGAATGTAATGCAGTCTCTTTGTTTGGTTGCCACGGTGTATATCAATGCAATGCCCCATTCCAGTAAGCGAAATCGGCCACTCTACGACTGGCGATCTTTTCATGGGAAGCGCCAATATTATACATGGTTTCTGGTGTTTTGCCTCAGTCGTTTGGTGACTGCCCTATTGAGGGCTGGTTGTGATCATGTGGGCATCAGAAAACATCTGCTTTGGGAACGTGACATGGCATATTGCTTTCTTTCGCAGCATTTCCAACCAATACGCTGCTTTGTGCTCAGAGCTTGCTCTGGATAACCAAGGGGTGTGGGTCGTGGGCTGACACAAGTACGTACTGAGCGAGGTTTCAAAGTTACTTACCATTAATTCGTTCGTACGAGATGTCATCATAACATCCGTTGCGGGTGTAATTATTGGATATAACGAAAACGCCAAGTGAACCAGTAAACTGATCAGATCCTAAAGTATTCATGAATTTTGTGAACGGCAAAAGGGGACTTTTAAAAACGCGGAAAATCGCTCACTGTTGGGATTATTGCAGTGTTATTTCCACATTTTGTATCCAAGCCAAATTAGGAAGGTCCTGCTGATTAATTATGGGTGAGGAGTACTGTGTCTTCCGAGCAGCACAGGTTCCTAGCGGACAGAACAGAGGGGAAGTCAATGAGAAGACTAAGGAATATCGCTTTCCAAAAGGTGCCAAGATTGGTTACGTGGTTGTGCTTATCTGAGTTCGGCTTATTCAAACTGTCAACTGAACCATTGTGACCAGGTTCTACAATGATAAACGGAAGGAAATGAATTCTTTAGATTCATGGAGGCTGACTTTTACTGATTTCCAGTGAGGCTTTTCATTCATAGGTATCTTTTTAAGACTGAAATCGTAATTGGTTCTCTGTTGTTCGATGAACGTGTCTAGTTGAATAGCAGTTTTGTTATAGTCACAACGAAATCTATAAGCTTTTACGCGACGAATACAAAGAGCTACCGCTGTAACCTGTTTTTGGGAAGGGCGGTGCTGTCTGACCTAACAGTCCGCAAGACATGGTTCATGCCAAAGTGAGTTCTTAGGTGATGTTAGCGGCACAGCCTGCTTCATTTAAAAGTTTATGTGTACCAGCAATTTATGCCCATACGCACACGGATGACTGGAAGCGGATCCAAGATCACTTGGTACGTATATTGCTATTAGTATTATCATTATTAAATGATCGTCTAACTGCTTAGCTACCGTGCCACCCAAAGGAAGCACAAGGGCTGTGTACTGTAAGGTTGCTGAAACGTAGGTAGGAGCAGTCAAGATCCCGGGGGTTAAGTTCGAACCACAGACCTCCTAGTCACTAAAAGTTTGTGCCTAATCCACTGAGCCATCTCGAGCTCACTTCTACACACCAGGGTATCATCAACCATCTCACTGATGTCGTGGTGATTCAAGTTGTCAAAATTATCCTTGTGGAAAATAAGAAGAGAAAGCATTAATCTAAAAACTGTACAAACCACCTGGTAAGTTCGGCCGAAATAAACCGCTCTGGTTAAAGATTTTCTGTGCTCATACGTTTAAGAATATTGTAAACCAGTTGCATTAAAAACACATATGCACATCATTGCGATTATGAACTAAAACAAATCTGCATCTCTCAGCATCACCGATTGTGTGGTTCCACTCTGGCTGTCTAGGGTAAATAGTGAGTCGTATGTGGGGTTTTTTAGGGATTGTCACTAGCGGTAAGGCATTTGTGAGATAGCTTAAAGCCAATATCTGGAGGAAGATAGACTGCCTCCCTGGCTGGCATCGCTAATGGCTAGCTGCTGAGGTCAATTCCGTGATCGAGGGATGAGTGGCGCTATGACTTGAAAATTAGTCACACCACCAATCAGCAACTCATGGCCGAACGTTCTAGTCTTTAGCTACTAGTCGGAAGGTTGCGCGCATGGATTGCTCTCAGTAATCAGGTGGGCCACACGCGCAAAACTCCAAAAGTCGAACCGTTCAGACGGAGGTTTATCAGCACATGCGGCACTATGAGTATAGGATGATCAAATGGTGCAAACCTTAAATCGTGTGGTGAATCCAGTTTCCATGGTCAGGTGACGCTGATTCCAGATGGGATCCTGTACAAGTAAGGTAGGTGGGGAACAATACGCCTAGTAGAATTTCACACTGAGTCAAAACAAAGTGGCCGCAAGATGTAAAAAGCCCAGGTGGTTGTGTTAAACCAGGCGCGTGATGATGAGGTCTAAAAGCGGCTCACATTCAGGACCAACTGAAACTGGTCCACTCCTAGTGATGAACATTACAGTCAGACAGGCTGTTACAAAGGGTCGTCTTTTACAATTATATCACTACAAATATCCACGTAGCCGTATAGGTTCGGGATGAAGGATAATCTGGGCACAGAACTATGACGGCAAGACGAGGAATCCCATTGCACACAACAAAAGTAAAAGGAGAGGATCAACAGAGAGTTCGAACCCACTTCTGGGGATTCGTGAGATTCACAG